ACTAGGATTGACAGTTTCCTTGCCGAAGGTCAGTGGTTCTCTCCGGGCGTCCCAGCTTTCTACACACAAAAAAACCTGGTCACCATGAAATAGAAAAATAATGATAAAAGTGGCGTTAAAGACCAACAATGAATACATCAATCATTGTATATCTTAGACGTTTCAAACACATCTCGTAGTTTTTTTAAACACGAATCTATTTTTTTTAAATTGAATTTGACAATAGCAATTTTCCCGCATCGTATAATGGTGAATCCAGATAACACTGTAATATGTGCCGTTGGACATGAAAAAGCTTAACCTCTAATAATTTTGAATAACTAGGAGAATAGATGAATTTTAAAGCAGAACTATTTTAAATATTTGTCAGCTATTTTAGGGGAAAGCAATAAGTATTGAGCAGATATTTAAGATTTCCGAGGATAAGGCAACATTAAGGGACCTGTCTTTAAAGGTTGATGTGTCCATCATATTACATATGTGGCAACCTTTTGTTTAAGGCGTAAATCAAATTAAACTTTTCAAAGTTATTCAAGTTCCATTACTAACTTAATGTCGACACCTTATAATGTAGAATATCTATTCTAAACAGAAAAGGGTAATTTCTATGTCAAAAGATTGCAAAATTTCTGAGAATGAATAGAACAGTCCCTATTCGAATGCAGCATTCCCTTACTTAGTAGACATGTCTTTGACAAGCAATACTTTGAACCACTGACAGTGTCTTTAACGATCCCATGCGCAAAAATGACAAAATTAAAAAAACAGAGTATTGTCCCTGCTAAACTGAAGAGTGTAGGTTTCAGCTGGAGAGTTCCCGATGAAGACATTTTTTTTTTCAGTTAAAAAATTTGAGGTACACAGTCTACAAAATGAAACAAAAGTTGAAAATATGATGCTCGTCTTGGCGTATACTCAAAAATGTACTTATTTGGGACTGCTTAGACATGAAATGATGTCACAAGACACATGCGACCAGTCACGGCTTTTATAGAACGAGTTGCCCCTCAATCATACACCTTTGACACATAGTCCCACAATGCCCTAATGTTCTAATGCATAATAAAAAATATCTTAAAATCCACTATAAAAGAAATAACATAACTAATAATTTTAACCATAAAATTTTATATGAAAAAAAACCCCACAGATATTAAAGTTTACATTCATTACAAATGACAGAAACTATATTTGTAGACAATCGATTACGAGCGACCAAACAGGTCATTTTTGAAAATCAGATCATTTCGTCTTTTTCTATTTAGTTCTTTGGGTCTCTTTTTTTGCTTTTTTTCACTTTATTATTCATGACATGAAAGTTTTAACCTTAACTTCATGTTCTAAAACATATACGTGTGCATTGTGCTTCAATGAAAAAATATGGGGTAAACGTCAATGAGACAGCCACCTAGTGACAGAAATAACCAAAAGACATGTGCTCGGTTTGACGGTAAACCAGATATATGCGAGATTCCCTCACGTGATAAAGGAAGAAAGATCATTCACAATTTGTCTTACATTTGTTTTTCTCTCTTTTAATTAAATAAAAAAAACAACTTTCGAATGTTGAGTTCATAAGATGAAAATATTCCCTGTAGAACCCCCCCCCCCCCCCCCCTCCTTTTCTTTTTTTGGTGCTCTCCAATTTCAGCCCCCAAATAAGGCTTTCCAATCTAATTAAAATTAAAATCTTGCTTTCTAACCAATCTATTCATGTACCGGACCGGGAACTTTCTTTATTTAATAAGAAAATCTACAGTGCCGTTATATAAATGCATGTTGTCTGCTTGGAGTCCCCGCCCGAAAAGAAAGAAATAGCCTAACTCCAAGATACTACATTCCTGCATCACGTGATTTTTGCCACGTGGAGCTTACATTAGAATGAATACCGAATATGGAAAGTGAAACTACAGTTCAAAACATAAAGTCCGAAGGCACATAGAAGAAAAAGAAGGATTTTTTTTGGCAAAGGGTGCCGGGGTAATCTTCTCTGTGTTCATAATATACACGAAATATTTGCCACTGCCCCTTGTCTGTTCTATAAATTGTAATCCTGAGTTTTCTATCTGTTACATGCCAAAAAATCCTCGCTAAAAATTCCGGTGGACCTCCTACGGCACCTATTAGTAGTTAAAGATTTGATTTCATTCAACAAACTCATTTATGACCTGCAAGTACGTGTCGCTTAGAAAACGGCCGTATACAAAATGGTCAATATTAATCATCCATGTAATTTGCTTTATGAGATGTTTGCAAAATTTCAACGGAGGCAATTTCTTGGCATGACGAGACAGCATCTCAGCGATAAATGAATATGTTTGAAAGAACTATGCACTTGGCTACCTTTTTTTCTTCAATTCGTTTTTAAAACGTCTTGGCTTCTTCAACTTGAATAATAGAAAATAAAACTATATATCAAACGAAAACTGGATAAAATGAGAAACAAGTTTCTTTCATTAGTGAAAATTACTGCTTCATTGCTTATCTCAGAGTTCGAACCCTACACGTGGTAGCTTGGTTCGACTCCAATCTTAATTGACTAGGATTGACAGTTTCCTTGCCGAAGGTCAGTGGTTCTCTCCGGGCGTCCCAGCTTTCTACACACAAAAAAACCTGGTCACCATGAAATAGAAAAATAATGATAAAAGTGGCGTTAAAGACCAACAATGAATACATCAATCATTGTATATCTTAGACGTTTCAAACACATCTCGTAGTTTTTTTAAACACGAATCTATTTTTTTTAAATTGAATTTGACAATAGCAATTTTCCCGCATCGTATAATGGTGAATCCAGATAACACTGTAATATGTGCCGTTGGACATGAAAAAGCTTAACCTCTAATAATTTTGAATAACTAGGAGAATAGATGAATTTTAAAGCAGAACTATTTTAAATATTTGTCAGCTATTTTAGGGGAAAGCAATAAGTATTGAGCAGATATTTAAGATTTCCGAGGATAAGGCAACATTAAGGGACCTGTCTTTAAAGGTTGATGTGTCCATCATATTACATATGTGGCAACCTTTTGTTTAAGGCGTAAATCAAATTAAACTTTTCAAAGTTATTCAAGTTCCATTACTAACTTAATGTCGACACCTTATAATGTAGAATATCTATTTTAAACAGAAAAGGGTAATTTCTATGTCAAAAGATTGCAAAATTTCTGAGAATGAATAGAACAGTCCCTATTCGAATGCAGCATTCCCTTACTTAGTAGACATGTCTTTGACAAGCAATACTTTGAACCACTGACAGTGTCTTTAACGATCCCATGCGCAAAAATGACAAAATTAAAAAAACAGAGTATTGTCCCTGCTAAACTGAAGAGTGTAGGTTTCAGCTGGAGAGTTCCCGATGAAGACATTTTTTTTTTCAGTTAAAAAATTTGAGGTACACAGTCTACAAAATGAAACAAAAGTTGAAAATATGATGCTCGTCTTGGCGTATACTCAAAAATGTACTTATTTGGGACTGCTTAGACATGAAATGATGTCACAAGACACATGCGACCAGTCACGGCTTTTATAGAACGAGTTGCCCCTCAATCATACACCTTTGACACATAGTCCCACAATGCCCTAATGTTATAATGCATAATAAAAAATATCTTAAAATCCACTATAAAAGAAATAACATAACTAATAATTTTAACCATAAAATTTTATATGAAAAAAAACCCCACAGATATTAAAGTTTACATTCATTACAAATGACAGAAACTATATTTGTAGACAATCGATTACGAGCGACCAAACAGGTCATTTTTGAAAATCAGATCATTTCGTCTTTTTCTATTTAGTTCTTTGGGTCTCTTTTTTTGCTTTTTTTCACTTTATTATTCATGACATGAAAGTTTTAACCTTAACTTCATGTTCTAAAACATATACGTGTGCATTGTGCTTCAATGAAAAAATATGGGGTAAACGTCAATGAGACAGCCACCTAGTGACAGAAATAACCAAAAGACATGTGCTCGGTTTGACGGTAAACCAGATATATGCGAGATTCCCTCACGTGATAAAGGAAGAAAGATCATTCACAATTTGTCTTACATTTGTTTTTCTCTCTTTTAATTAAATAAAAAAAACAACTTTCGAATGTTGAGTTCATAAGATGAAAATATTCCCTGTAGAACCCCCCCCCCCCCCCCCCCCCTCCTTTTCTTTTTTTGGTGCTCTCCAATTTCAGCCCCCAAATAAGGCTTTCCAATCTAATTAAAATTAAAATCTTGCTTTCTAACCAATCTACTCATGTACCGGACCGGGAACTTTCTTTATTTAATAAGAAAATCTACAGTGCCGTTATATAAATGCATGTTGTCTGCTTGGAGTCCCCGCCCGAAAAGAAAGAAATAGCCTAACTCCAAGATACTACATTCCTGCATCACGTGATTTTTGCCACGTGGAGCTTACATTAGAATGAATACCGAATATGGAAAGTGAAACTACAGTTCAAAACATAAAGTCCGAAGGCACATAGAAGAAAAAGAAGGATTTTTTTTGGCAAAGGGTGCCGGGGTAATCTTCTCTGTGTTCATAATATACACGAAATATTTGCCACTGCCCCTTGTCTGTTCTATAAATTGTAATCCTGAGTTTTCTATCTGTTACATGCCAAAAAATCCTCGCTAAAAATTCCGGTGGACCTCCTACGGCACCTATTAGTAGTTAAAGATTTGATTTCATTCAACAAACTAATTAATATTATTTTGAAATT